AGAGAGGGGAGGTGACTTGCCCAGCTAGGAAGTGTCAGAAACAGAAAGAAAACCCAGGCAGCCTGGCTTTGAATCTCCACACCATCCGCCTGGGACCCCAGCATACAAGCTGGGTGGGTTCAGCTGTGTGGATCTGAGTCTGAACACACAATGGGATTTCAGCAAAGAGTCAAAGAGCTGACCTCAGAAATGATTAACTTTGACATCTGCACAGGAAGAAGCAGACCCCTCCCAGTCCCTGCAAACACACACACCCTCTGGTCCAGCTTGGGGTCTCATAGAGCCCACAGGGCTTGTGTTGGCTGGGCTCACTGCAGGAGGGGCAGAAAAGCCGAGGGAGAAGCTGAGGCCCAGCTGAGAAAACCAAGCTTCCCCTTGCCTGGGGCAGTGCCCCCAGCCACCAGACCTTTCTACTGGCACAGACTCCAGAAGCCAAATCCCATTGTTATTAATGCTTTAGTGAGAATCAGCTTTGTCCAATTTTTGGACGACTGTGAAAACAAGGAATCTAAAAACGGAGATCAGGAAGGTACTGAAAATAGCATTTCTGTGGGGCAGACCCAAGGTCACACTTGTCATTTCTCAGCTCCCAGTCCCATGCCCCCCAAGAGCAGCCACAGCAGAAGGTGAGAGGTGACGAGGGTGGCCCCATGGCCTCCCTGAGTCAAGGCCAGGCCTTCAAAAGAACCTGCCTCCTGTCAGCAATGGGCCTAGCAGACTGGAAGGAACTGGCTTAATAAATGTTTGACTTTGGCATTTGGAGGAGGGCAGGCCTCGGCCAGGCCCCAGAGTGACTCTGAAGTGCTGTGGGGCCCACTGACACTTCCCTTCCCTTTCCAAGGTGTTCTCATGACAGCAACTACCTGGGGTCCGCCAGCCTAGAGCAACTGCCTTTGCAAGGTGGTGACCTTCTAAATCCAGATCCATTAATGAACCCGGCAGCCCTGGGAGCCCCGGAGGCTGCACCCTCTGCCGTGGCTTCTGCCAAATTCCTCTTGCTGTTTTTGATTCTCTTTTTCCTCCTCCTCCCGCTTCCCATTATGTCTGACATTTCTAAGGCCAAGTTTTGTTACAAGCAATTAGCCTGTGTCAGGGATCTGGGGAGAAGGGCTGCGTGCCAACAGCCGGCTGAGATAGGAAGCACCAGCGTGGGGAGGATGCCTGGAAGCCGGCTACCCAAAGCTTTGGCCCCTGCGTGGTGGCCCTGCATAGACCACTGCTCCCTGCACCGACAGTGAGGACAGGTGCCTCGAGAGGTGAGCCACGGGTACAGGAGCCCCCAAACGAGAGTCCACCATTCTCTATTCTGGAGTCCTCCGCCTCATCTAGAAATGTATCCTCCCAACCTGAGCCTCCCAGGCCCTGGATGAGGCCAAAAGCCAGAGTTCATGGCCTATTTCCAGTCCTTGAGAAGGGAAAAAGAAATATATTTATCCACAATAAGCTGTATAGGCTAACCCCAAAAAACACTTTTAACTTTGCCTGGAATTATTTGCTCACTCAGTATGGTTGTCTAGACACTTGCGTTGTCTGTTTGGTTTGCTGACAAATAAAAATGACGAAATAGAGTGTTTCAGAATCAATGCATTCTCTGGGGTAGACATTTCTCACACGGAGGCTGGTATTTTGTGGGAGCCACCAGGGAGGAGGGAGAGGTGCTGAATCCACTGAACATCCAGCACCTCCTTCCTCAACACAGCCTCTGGTGCTTCCTGATCTCCCAGTATCCAACTAGCCTCCATCCTCAGGCCTCCCAAGAGGACATGCAGCCATCACAACCCACACGTTGGTTGATCTCATCCCTTTAGTGTCAGGATACAATTAACTAACTTATGGAATCAGTATGCACTTCTAAGAGAGGGCCCGAGGGCTCACCTAGCCCTTCCAGGTCACAATAGGGGATTTCGGAAGTTGAATCTTAAAACCTTTGCCTTCTTTACTGGGGGTCCATAGGTGAGCATTTCAGAAGGATGATGAAACTGAGGCCCAGGAGGCTACATTGGCTATCGAAGGTCCCGGGCAGGTTATGTAGATGGCCGTGACCAGAACCATGGTCTCCAACCTTTTAACACAGAGCTCTTCCCATGTTGAGGATGCCACTGACTCCCTGCCATTCACGTTCGGCCCATGTTCCATCTACAGTCCACGATAGATATATGAAAACAGGATCATGTGGTGTGTATGCAACAGCACCACAACCAGAAACCTGAAAATAATCTGTTTCCATCCTGAAGCAAATCGTGTTCTCACAAACCCATTCACAGCCCAGCTACTAGCTCCCCAGACAGCAGGAGGCTGCCTGCCTTGAGAGATCAAGGACCAGGGAGGAATGAAGACGAGCACGTGAAGGGGAGAAAAATCTTAGTGGGAGCTGAGGGCAAAGAGAGCTAAGCTGCAACCTACTGTGCATATTAAATCACTGGAACTCTTTGTGGGAGGGATTTTTTTTCTCCCTAGCTGCGTGAGGTTTTGGAGATGCTCTACAGAACCTCTCTTGGCTTGCCTTGGGGAGGACTGTGAACGTGACCTGAGAGTAGAGAGTGTTGGGTAACTGACCTCCATGCCCATACTCTACAGACTGCCAACCCCTTCCCATCTCAGCCCATGGCATTCCTGATACCTCCCAGAGATCTTCTCGCATCTCTTCTCTTACCACTTCTAATATTGCTTCCCATTTCTTGGTCTCTTCTTACTTAGGCCAGATCAGCTATGTTCATGCACAGCCCCAGCGGGTGGTTTCCAGACCATGCAATGATGCTCTAGCTCAAAAGCTTTGCTGTGGAAGGCAGGGAAAATTCCTCTTCCAAATTCCAGAAGCCAAATCCCGTTATTAATGCTTTAGTGAAAATCAGCCCAAAATAGAAGGGATGTGATTGTTCCTCATTTTTGGCACCTGTTCAATATTTTTGAGGTAGGATGGTTTTTATCAGCAAGATTTTAAAAAACGAATTAGCGGAAGCAGGAAGAAATATGCAACTGAAACATCAGTGAGCCGGCACCTCTCCCATGGGCACTCCACAGTCAGCAACACAAGCTCCTCCCACACGGGCTCCAGCTGGACCTCCTGACACTGACCATGGGTCTACTAAGACCCGCATTGAATAACATTCATTTTCTCAGTCATAGAGCCTACCCCTTATACCCACAGCTGCCTACAGCCAATGATGGAGCTAAAGCTCCGATCCAAATAAAACCCTATTCTCCCTCTTCCGAGTCTGTGATTTTGAGTCACGCCAAGGGACGGGAAACAGAAATAATGTGTTTAGCCATCAGGCTTCATAGAAACACTGCCCAAACCTGCTGTCCCCACTCATCACTGGTGCCTTCACTGGAGGGGCAAAGAAGGGGAGAGGCTAGTGCAGTGATTTAGGCCTGCTGGCTGTTTGTAATTATCTGTGAATTGGCAGTGGGGGTAGGAAGAGTACCCAAGAAATGATGACTGAAATTTTAAAGATTGAATAGATGGAAAAAGAAACTAGGTAAAGTTATCATCTTCCTCCTCTCTTCCTGACAAACAAAACAAAAATGGGTAGTTAATCAACATCACCTATTGTGTTTAGTAAAAATCTGGAAAACAGCCAGTTCCAGGAAGTGGAGAGAGAATGGATGCGGAGGGAAGTGGTTCTGGGTCTCCAGAGAGTGTCTGATACACAATGGTTCTCAACGTGTGGTTCCCTGGGGCAGCAGCACCAGCATTACTGGGAACCTGGTTGGAAATGCAGTCTCAGGCCTCACCCCAGACCCACTGCATCAGAAACTCTAGGAGTGGGCCCCCTCATGTGCATTTCAATCACCACCACCCTCTGGTTAGCCTTGATGCTCACTCAAGTTTGAGAAGCATTCAACCTGAGATGCACTCTGGCTTCCTGCATGGGGAACCATTCAAATCAGTGTGAAGATTCTCCAACCACTTGCTCCCTGCTCCAGCCCCTCCTGCCGTTCCCATCCCTCTCTCCTGCCCCTTCCCTTGGCCTTGCCTTTCGGAGGCACCATCCCAGCTTGGCCTATCCTTTCTTTCCAGGTCCTACTCAAATCTCTCTTCTTCCAAAGACCCCCGAGACACTTCAGTCCTAGGAAACGCTCCCTGCTATGAAGCCACGTGCACTTACATCTGTAACTGTCATTCTACACTGGCCTGCCTATCGTAGATACTCATTTTCCCAAGCCAATAAGTGTCTTGAGTGCAGGGTCCTTACCCTCAAAGTTGCCAGGAGGTGGGCCCAGAAATAATTTCCTGCAAAGGAGATCCCAGAGCACGTGTGAAAATCAAAAAGGATGCCTGGGAGAGGAGTGGGCCTCCCAGTCTCCACAGATTATCCCACTGGCACATGGCCCATAGGCAGGCCCTCCCCCACAGGCCCAGCATGTTATTCCCCACGTGGATTAGAGACTGAACACAAACAGAATACAAAAGACAAAAGACAGCAAGCAGCGTTCCTGTCAGAGTCTATAAAAGTCTTGGAAGTGACAGCCGAGCTCTTGCCTGCTGCTGCCCTGAAATCCAGAAAGAATCAATTTCAGACCCAGGGCCAAATGGTGCCCCAGGGGGCGTGCCTGTGACAGGTGCTGACTCCGCCCAGACCCCAGGACCCACCCAACCAGGAGATCTGAGTGGGGGAGGGGGGAGAGGGAATGGAAGAGTCACTCTGTCTCTTTTTCAGTCTCTTTGCTTCTGTTTCTCTCTTTCTGTCTCTGTTTGTCTCCATCTCTTTCTCCCTCCCCTTTTCTCTGTTTCTCCTTTGTCTCTTTTTCCGTTTCTCTGTCTTTCCCTCTGTCTATCTCTCTGTTGCTTTCTTTCTATCTCACTGGTGTCTATTACTGTATTCCTTCTCTGAAACTCTCTTTACTCATTAGGATTACAACTAAAATTTTCTTTCTTGCTTCATGAAACTAAACTGTGACCCTGACTGTGCCACCTACCCTTTCAGACTCCAAGTCCCCCCAAAACATACATTTTCAATAAATACTTGTAGTTCATTGATAAGAATCTATAAAATTCCAAAAATTGCATTTGTTTATCCTTCTGGATTGCAAGAAAAGAATTATTTAGCAGGGACCAGTGGGCATGCGTGCTGCATGCATGTGATGAACTCTCTCAAGTCACAGCACAGTTTTATTTGTTTACATATTTATTTTCAGAATACAGCAGTGTCCATCATATAGGTTAGCATTTTCCATTTGCCAAACTCATGCGGTGGGAAGAGGAAGCACACAGGCTAGCGTTGGCAGATTTGGCAAACTAAAGCACAGGGCACCAATAAATTCGAATTTCAAATAAACACAACAAATATTTCTTAATACAAATATGTTTCAAATATTAAATGGTCCATGCCCTAGGAGAGTATCTGTTGCTCCCCTGAAATTCACATTTACTGAGCATCCTGTATTTCATCTGGCAACCCCATCTAAGGACAATTCAAGTAGAAAGGGGGAATAGAGAACTGGTAGAGGAAAAAAAAACTTTAAAAATTGTATTACACTTTATTATGTTACTTTTAAAAAGAAGAAGAACAAACCCCAAACCAAAAATCACTTCCGCAACACATTTCTTAAAAGCAGAAATTAGGTTCCTTTTATGTTAGTGCAAAGATAGGTGCCAAGCTGGGGTCTCAGATGGAGTGATTTTAAATCTCAGAAAGAGCTTAGCTGTTTTTGTAAAAAGGAAAGTTGGCAAGTGATTAGTGCCGATGTGGCCCAGCTGCTCTTTTGTACTTTGAAAGAAACAATTAAAATGGCGGGGACATTAAACTTTAAAGAGCTGGGTTGTTCATATTCTGAAGCTAATTTTAAAAGGAGCCTGGTACCTGGGAGAGGAAGGGACATTTTCAGAGAGGACATGGTCTTCTACCTTCTGAATTCTAAATTTTGAGGAACCATTTAAAATAACTCATAGGTAAATATTACAGATAAAATACCTCCAGGGATAAGAAAGCTCTTTTTTGCTTAGACATGTAGATATTAGATGCAAAATTAATTTTTGTTCACTTTTTAGATGATAAATGCTGCCATCTGAGAAATTAAATGTTGGAAAAGACAAATCCAGAACTGGTTTCTTTCTACAAATTGCTGAGCTCCTGTAATGTGCTAGGTCCTGGGGTTAAGGAAAAGAAATGAACAAAGCAAATCCCTACCCTGGAGGAAGCTCACATTTAAGTGGGGATGACAGATCTGTAAGCAAAGACAGTTCACTGTGGTGAGGTGGTGTGGTTAAGAGCATGGTTAAAAGGGTTAAAAGTGAGGGCCCTGTGCTCAACACAGGCTCAGGCCCATCCCCACCACTTAGGCAGTGTCTGAGCTTTGTTTTCTACATTTGTAAATGGAAATAAAGATAGGATTTCTTCAATTAGATCGTGAGGCCTTACTATGGTAAGTGAAGTTAAGCGTTTAGTACACTGCCCGCCATAGAGCAAGTGCTTCGTTAGACCTGGCTATTACTGTAAGTGTGGTCATCCCTATGGGATCTATGGGAGCACAGAGGAAGGAGTCTGTCACTCCTGCTTAGATGCAGGTGGGGCGCGACGTGTGGTTCCTTGGGGACTGAGCCTTAAAGGAGGGTAAAAGTGGTTGATGGCATTCCCTTCACAGTGCACGGAGGGAACACAGGGCGTCCAGGATAGTCATGGGCATGGCCGTCATTTGGAGCAACAGAGGTGACCAGAAGCCCCATTATCACAGGCCTCATAAACCATGCCAGGTGTCTGACCTTTTAGAAACATCAGAAAACTGATGGAATTTAAAGAAGACAAAGATCTAATCTGCATTTCTTTTTTATGGTTGTTGAAAGATAAGCCATTTATTGATCATCCATTTTTCTAAAATAAACACAAATGTGACAGGAACATAAACACACTCAGGATTCAGTAGCCCCTGCGAGACGGGAAGCAGCCTTGGACAGAGAGTCTGCAAATGAGTTTCCTCATACCTCACGTCTGAACGTCTCAATACTTCTCACTCATTCTGGGGTTTCATATTTTGTTACCTCTTACAGAGGAAAGGAAACTGGCTGAGGATTCATAGACAAGAACGTCACAACTTTAAAGCTATCCGACGCTAACATCGTGTACGATCTAGTTTGCAACTCTGAGAGACAATATCAAATAAGTACTGTCAAATACTACTCCGTTAACCTTTACTGTCATTGTTCTTTGAAATTGTCTTTGGAACTGGTTATGTTCTCTTGCTGTAGCTTTTGTTTATCCCGGAGCACAAACCCTAAAATCCCTGTTCAGTCTCCATGTTCAAGTATAAACGTTGGGTTGCTGCAGTGTTTCTCTCTCTGTCTACTTGGTGTCATGCCCTTGGACAGGCTGGTCAAATGGCCTCACAATGCAGGGGTGACAGGGTCAACTTCCCCGCAGCTGAATGTGCTCCCTTTTCAATCTGGTCACTGCACATGGTCGAGATGGGGATCTTGAGCTCAGTGATGACCTTGGCCTATCTTCAGTCTAAAATCGCATTCTTATGTAACCGAATCCATTTCTTCACCAAAAATTAAACAGAGCTTTCAAAAGGTGTCAGGCCTATTCTTAGAAATTATCCTGAGATGGAGCTGGAGGGTCCTGGCCTTCAGGCTCTGGAGGGGCTGCTGGTACAGCTGCTTTTATCTGGGCCAGCAGGTACTCATGAATTGCTCGTTCTATTTGTGGCCTGAAGATGTGGTTTAGTTTTGGATCCACCACCTGAGAAATAATCCTGTCTACTCGTTTCCAACATCCCTGACTGAACCACACTCTGCCTCAGACCGTTGCTCAGTTGATTTTTGTTCATTGTAGGATTCCATTCCCGCTGGTCCAGATGTGCTGGCACAGAATTATCCACTTTTTGGCTCAGGTTTTGGTAAGCTGGCTTGGTGTCCACATCGGCAGGGCAGTCCCGGTGGAAGCTGTCAAAAAGGCCCCGGCTCTTGAGCTGCTCCACAATGAAGGCGATGAGCTGAGGGTCGCCAGGGGGCAGCGAGGCCGGGTTGATGGGACCGCCGCCCCTGCTGGCGGAGGCCTGGGCCGCTTCACCGCCGTCCGCCATCGCTGCACCCCGGACCCACAGGGAGACCTTTTATAGCTTCTTCTCCAGGACAGAAGGCCTAGAATGTGTGGAGGCGGCGAAGGGGGCGGTAAAAAAGGAGGGCCCCGAGGAGGAAGCGGCGGAGGTGGCAGTGGTGGGGATGGCGGTGGGGGCGGTGGTGGGGCCCGGGGGAGGCCAGCTCCAGGCCACTGAGGATGTGGGAGACGCACCAGCAACTGCCTGCTCTATTCCAGGCTCACCCCGATGACATCACCGTTGACCTTTGCATTGTGGGGCGGGAGCTGTAATCTGCGCTTCTTAGAAGATCTCTAGAGGAAGGTGGAAAGAAATGGGAGTGCACAAGTGGAGACACAGGGCGTCAATTTCAGCAACCATTTCAGTGCCATATGAAGGAGATGAGGAGGAGTGGATGATCTTGGTGGCCTGGCAAGTTAAGAAGGTGACAGATTCAAAAGATATTTAGGAGATAGACTCATCCCAGGGATTGGAGACCAACCAGGTGAGAGGCGAGGGAAAGGAGAGGGTCAAGGATGACCCCCAGGCCTCTAACTTGGGCAGGTGTATGGAGGTGCCATTTGCTACATGGAGAACAGGTATAGAGGTGAGGATGGGAGACTGAGACATGATCATGCATTCCATTTTTATTTACTAGTTTAAGATGGGTATGGGTTATTCAGATGAAGACATCTGCCTATGAAGTCCAAAGAAAGAAGGACTCAGAGCTTGGGAGAGACATCTATCTCACTGAAGATAGAGACTCTAGGTGACAATTACAATGGAGAACTTACATGAGATAAAGGAACACCTGAGAGTCCATGAGAGGGACTGGGAACAACACTAAAAAGATGGGGGGAAAACACAAGAGCCTTAAATTAACAACTGCAAAAGGGCACATTTCATGAAGGCCATGGGGTTAAATGCCACACTATGTTCCACAGGTGTCCACTTGCTTTGGTAGCCGTTGATGAGCCTAGGGCGGAGGCATCAGTCAGAGGGAGGTCATTTCAGCAAGAGAACTATATTGCAGCCGAGAGCCACAAAAGGCAACCACATCCAGCACCATCCAATAGAGAAGTGCAGGTGCACAGAAAGAGCCTTCTATCAACATTTCAAAAGAAAAGCAGATCCCTAATTTCACCCCAACACTTACTTCCCTGAATTAAAATCCTCTGAAATGTAGGCACCAGACTGTTCTATAGGCCCTAGCATAACTTAGAGATAGTATATTTCACAAAGAAAGTTTACACAACAGACTCAGTCAATAACCTCTCCCCAGAGCTTCTGACATACAAGTACAGATGCCTCAGAGGGACATTATTCTGAATCTCATCCCACAGGAGACAGTGAACCACCAAGACTTCACCACAGCAACCCCCACCTACACCCTTCACCATCCCCATGATCAGCTCAACAATCAGTTCCATATTTTTAAAACTCATCAATATTTATGGAGGGATCAGTAGATGTGGCCCTGTGCTAAGCTTTATGGAGCTTTCCACATGCCCGGCTCAGTCTAACACTCAATAAATGTTTGCTGTGGCTGTTGTTTAAGACAGGCAACATGGCCAGCCTTCAGAAAGCTTACAATCTAGTTGGAGAGGGGAGATGTTGACAGAGAAAATCATTTAGGACATGGACAGTCTCTATGGGCACTTAGATGGAGTGTGCACACCTAGCATGGTGCCTGAAACAAAAGAGAGGCACCATTAATATTTGCAGAATGAAGACTGCATAGATGAAGGGAGGGTGTCCTTGTCATGTGTTGGAGATAACTGAAGACTGGGAGAACATGGCAGATGGAAGAAGACTTTTCAAAAGAGCTGGAACCTGAACTAGGTCTTAGTTTATCTTCTCACCCTGCATGTGCCCTTCAGATTTTGCAGGAATTCTCTGTCTTAGAATGAAACCACCTATGTGGATCTGAGATGAGATCTGTGGAGTTTTCCACTCACAGCCTCACCCACAGATGGACACTTACCTAAGTTTTTGATAGTGACAATAATAACAATTATATTGCAGTGTTCCATTCTGTGCTGAAAAATGTCCACTGTCAAACACCTGTTCTCCACCTCCTCCTTAAGTCTTAAATAGTGTGCTGGCATGGCTTTCCTGTACAGCTGACTTGTGTATTATTTGTAATTATAGACATTAAGTTACCATAATTATCCCATCACCTTGCATCAGGGTTTAGGGCACAGGACAGTTCTCACCGAGGTTTCAAACCACTGCTCCTGGCTGCCTGGCAAACTAGAAGGCCACTAGAGTAACTTCCCTGACCTCTAGCTGACCTGCAGGGATCAATGAACAATTAATTACTATCATCCTGCTCTGGGAGAGATAGCACACTGCCATTTCTCAATTACAACTGGAAGTGCCCCTTGGCTGACAGCTGCCTGTCGGACAAGCCAAGCCCCCTGCTGATTCAAACCAGTGCCGCCCACCACAACTACACACACAGATACCCACACAAGCGCATGCCATCTAACTCAGACTACATCCATTTCCCCACCACACCCCCCCCACAATCACACAGATCACACCATCTTCTCACCCACTATTCCCACACCCACAATCACACTAGTGTCAGACTCTGAAATATAGATACCAGAGTGTTCTGTGAGCCTTAACATAACCCAGAGAATGTATATTTCACAAAGAAAATATGAAAATGATCAATAATCTCATACCATAGCTTCTCACATACAAGTGCAGATACCTAGGAGGGACAACATTCTAAATCTGACCTGGCAGGAAACAGTCAATAGTCTTTGTCAGTATCCATTTTCCTGATGTATTACGTGGGCACACAGACCAGTATTTGCAGGATGACCCTGCAAAGGCAAGCCTCAGGAAGACTGTCTTTGCTGTACTTCCTGTGACATCTCTACAGGTAAAACCTTTGGTGTTTTCCACTGTCAACTCTTCTGACATCTTTAGTGTCCCCTCCACTCCCATCCAAATGCTCTGTGTTCTGTTTCCTCCCCAGCTACCTTGACCCACACCACCTACACCTTTCCTAGCTCCTCCCCAAATACCAAAGCGCCTTCTGCATATTCACTCCTTTCCAGCCCCCTTCTCTCCACTCCTGATAAATGAAAAAGCTGGACCGATCAACTCAAACTGAAATGTTTCTGGCTGCTGATAGCTTCAGCTACCACTCCTATAGTTAATGCTAAAATTCAAAAGAGTAAATATACTGGCAACCACAGGGGCTCCAGTTCTACCTGAAGGTGGGAGTGAGCTACTTTTGGTCATAGAGGCTCTGAGAATCCTATCTCATTATGTTGTATGTTTCCTGCTTTATTTCTACAATCAACTAACTAAAGACTGTTTATTCCATTAGAAAGATCTACAAGTGCATTAGACAAGACTTTTGATTACTTGCAACAGAAACCCAGCTTAAAAAAGGAGCGGGCATATATGGGCTCACTTAAAGACCTAAACGTCTCTCTGGCTTAGGCATAGTGGGATCCTGGTACTGGAACACAGTAATCAGAACTTGATCTCTGGTTTCCTCCTGACTGGCTCTCCTCCCAGTCTGGATGTCTTAACAGGGCTGACTGAGTGGCTGCAGGTGTGCATCACCCATGGTCAGCAATTGCCACTGACAGGAGAGCTGTTAGTTCTGAGAAAGAGAAATTCCAACGAAAGTCTCAAGATATATCTCTTGGTCTATCTTGGATCAGTCTTCATCCTCGAAGCAATCTCATTGGCCAGAGGCCTAGAACACTAAACTAGAGACAATTCCTCTCTTTTCCCAGCTCTTGACCTCTTCTACCCAGGGCAGACTCAGTCTGTGGCCAGTCATGGCCCCTGCTGATAACTATACAAGAACAAAAGCCTTTTGCTAGCCCAGAACTTGACTTAGAGAACCAGTGACTATTTAGAGGAACTGGAAAACCCACGGTTTCTGGGCCCTCATCAGCAAGCAAAACCACCTTAAATTAATCAGGTATATACTGTGCTATCCTGATCAAACTACCAGGCACCTAAGAGGTGATCACAAATATTGTAGTTATTAAAGGGACATGCTTATGACTCCACTGCTTACATTTCCATTTGCCCTATGCCCAGAGGAGAGCAGTATGGGAATACACATTTCCAGTCTCTCTCCTGACTTCCCCCATCATGTGCTGCTCCAGCCAGAGGAAGAGTGACTGATCTGCTTGGTAAGATCAGGGAGAACCAACTAAATCCACTAGGCCACACTTGCCAAGAGCAGCGTCCTTGAGTGGGACATGGATGTGTCTTGCTGGTTTTCTTAGACCTGCCTAGCTTCATCTGGAGCTTGCTGCTCTTCTCCTTTTCCCATCTCCAACCACAAGGGAGGTCTGCTTCTCTTTAGCAGGGATGTGGTTGGATATGTACGTTCAGACTGGAGAGCCACACAGAAGACCATGCTGCCCAGTTTTCCAGAGAGCCCTATGCTTTGGGTACTATAAGTGACTCTTAGATCCCATTTAGCTCCTTAATTGGCTAAAACCAAGAGCAGAGAAAGCATAAGTAATTAGCACCTTCACCTCTTCAAACACTACAGCAGTGATGATGATGATGATGATGAAGGTGGTGGTGATTACAGGGAGGTCTCCCCTAAACCCAGAAGCCATAGGGAGTCAGGCTAGCAGTGACCATGCTCTCCCACTTTCCCTCCCTAAGAGAATCATCAGCCCTGCATGTCCCCCTGCTAGGGGCTGAACCTTGTCCTCTGCAGAGAACACAAAAATAATTGCAAAGTGCTGTCTCCATCCTGCAGAGGCACACCAGCTGCTTGAGCTTGGACATTAAATCATACCAGAAGACCATATATCTGCCCTGAGAAGGAAGGAAGCAATTGAAACCCAGTATTTAAAGGCAATCTTAGATTTATCCTCCCTCTTGACAGCCTACAAAACGTTGGAGAATAGTCCCTGCCTTTCTCTGAATCATAAAACAGGATCCACTATCCAGAAATTGGCCCTGAGAAAGTTCATTGCTCATTCTCATGTGACCTTCCTGAGGAACAAAACTGCAGGCCAAAACTCTGAGTTTTAACAGGCTTCTACTTGTATTCATTTGCCAAGCAAGTACCACGTTGTCTTCTCAGTATCCCATGATGTTTCGCTTTTTGTGCATTTTCCTTCTTGGCAGCAGCACTGATTTTTGTGCACTTTCATGGAAATACATCTGACCCACTGGCTTTGTTTAACC